TCAATGGAGTGTTGGTGCTACAGTTCGTAACTATAATAACTGATAGGGAAGCATGCGGTTGCATAGTTGCTTGAGGCACAATGCTCTAAGCTGGAATGCCACGAGTTCGATTCCCGACGAGGTCATTGAATTTTTTCAATTGAGCTAATCCTTTCAGTCGCACTATGGCCCTGGGATCGACTCAGCCTCTAACATAAATGAGTATCAGGAATCTTCCTGCTGCAGCTACCTGCTCACGCTGGTTCATCGCTCACTGATTTCTTATATCATGAAGATGGAGCCGATACGTTCCTCCGAAACGTCCGTTAACACAATATCTACACGGCGCCACGTCCTAGAAGACGGAGTTCTTCTGAATAACCCTGAATTCACTGCTTTGTTTCTTCCGTCCTGTTCCATGCTCTGTGTTGGGTGACTGAGGACAATCATGGATATATGTTCCTCCGCCTACAGTCGGCAGAAAAGTTATCCCTGTGACAGTCCGTGGAGACCCATAGGGTTGTGAGACGTCGAGACTCCCACACTTTCTAGAAAATCGGCTCGCAGATGGCGGTGAGGCGAGGATTCCTCGTACTCATTTCTGTTAGAGGCTGAGTCGACCCCAGGTCCATAGTGCGGCTGGAAGTATTAGGTCAATTGGAAAAATCCACCTCATCGGGACAGGAAACAAAGATAAATGATTCTTTTATTCTTCCATTATTTTATCTGCGGCACGATCCGCTTTGCAACAATGTATCTGCATCTGCAGTAAGTAGACACCAGATGCACAGTCACAAATGGCGCATTTGGAAAATGTAGGCCGCAGTTTGAAGGGAATTCTTCCGTTATCGCTTGTCTTTGTTCTCCGGTACTGTACGAATTTGTCCATGTGACCTATCCGTAATCCAGATTCGTATCTCCGTGGCTGTACGGGTTTCTGTGGCCACGGGTCCCCACGCAAAATCCAACGTTCGTGTACTACATCTGCTGTAGGAACGAGGGTACATATCCATCAGTTCGTGAGGTACACCGTCACATAGATTCTGTTCTCAGTCTGCTTGCCATATTTGTATTCCGGTGGGAAATTCAAATATTTACACAGGACTTTTCTTCCGTAAGGTTGTCTACATATAGTGTGACGTACACTGGTTCATAGAGCGGATGGACTTTATCGAGGTAACTAAATTGACCGACGGTCGAACGGCCAGTGTACCTTGGTGTCAAACGCCCATCTGGGATCCAATATCGGATTTTTGTTAGTGTCAGTTGCGGGTTTCTTTATGTTGGGCGCCCTCTCTGACAATAGGACAGGTCTGTCGTTTACAATTAGTGCTGGGCCTCGCCAGCGCAGTCATTCTCGTGTCCGAGTCCCGTGGGACTCATGATCATATTTTACTGTTCCAGATTCGAGACTCCCCAAACCTGGAGGACCAAGTCCCTGTATTTATGTCCTCCAGGAAGAGGGTGTCCCAGCTTCGCATGAATAAATTCATATATGAAATAAGTGAACACTAGTATCTTTGAATAGTGTACAGTCGTAAAGAATACATTCGGAAAGCATGTGCACTATTCTTGCTGTCTGCGTCATGCTGGGTTTTTTGTTTAGCTTACTATTCAGACCTGAAGGTAGAGGCGACATTTTCCTCCGAAACGTTTGTTATGTTTCACCGGACGATGCAGCGGCGCATTCTAGAAGGTACAACTCTTCGTAACCTCTGCCGTGACAACATCAAATCCTACCAAACTATAGGGCGCTACTTCCCCGGTTATTCACCGTGTTGATACTCAATTTGGTATACAGATACCCAGCTACCAAACTGTACGGCGTTAGACAACAGTTATTTATTGTGTTGAGAAACTCAAATCACAGCAAATTATCAAAGGACTTTCAGGGTTAGATTTAATGGGCAATGACCGGGGGGAGGGGCGTTCGCCCCTGGGCCTCCACAGCTGAGGACTCCTGTTGTTGGTACGGGCTTCAGTTCCAGCTGAAAGCTCGCGTCTTCGCTAAATGCTGATTTGCTGGCTTCCATCTTGTTCCACTTGCTGCTCCTAAGCAGGCAGTCTATGTGCTCAGGCGTAGCTGTATCAGCTGTCTCGTGAATATGAAACCATTTAGCGGCAGTCGCTTGAGAGTGGATTATAGCTACTGGGGTGTGTCATCTCGTCTAGGCAGGGGATTAGTAAGGAGCTGTAGGTTATTTAAATCCCCGTCATTTCACACTCTTCACCTCCCCTCTAATCATCTCAGTTGGTTCATGCGTTCCCAATACGCAAAATTGATCTAACGGATTTCGTTAATTTCGTCGATGCAGTTGATGATGTTCAGAAGAAACACAGTAAGATGTCTGTCGTCACATCCGTAAAAGTATGCGACCAAATATCCATGGCTCTACATGAACAGAAGCATGTCTATTTGTTGCCGTAGAAACGTTGCCGTCTGTACTAGAGCCAGAGTCTTTTACGACTGGCATTATGTAACCCGTTTCTAGGCAACGGATCTGTAAACACGTTCACCCAGCAACGAATACGAACACAACAGTAGAGTTACTGCTGGAAACGGTGTTTTCTATTCGGTCCGTGAAAAGTGGTTATAAGGAAGAAGATTGGGGCGCTGCAGACAATGACTCAGACAAAAGACAGACCCGTCCTCTCGTCAGAGAGAGCCCCACAATAACAAGACTGTAACTGTCAAACAGTAATAAATATCTGTCATGAGCCCAAAATGGTGCTCGACACCAAGAATTACTGATTGACTGACCGTCAGTCGCATTGTGACTTTGACTTTTGACCCAGTTAGTTGTCAGCTGAGAGTTGAGTTCTGCACGAAAGGCTGTGAAGACAGGGCCTGAGGGCGTGAAGCTGAAGAATCTCCATTGTTAGAATCCGTTGCCAGCGAATGGCTGATGAAGACACAGCAAGCTGGAAAAAGGCTTAGCGAGTGCTGTGCTGATTTGTAAAGTGTGCAGATTAGCGAATCCGCTGTAAATACTTGTAGTTCCGAATGGTGTGTATAAGTGACCAATAAATCCATACACCAATCCAAACCCTGTCTATAGTCACACACACCTATAAATCGTGGCACTATAAATTAAAGTTACAGAATTGTATAAAAAGCAACTTTATTTATCGATGAATCCAATTCAGTGGAATTATGTGACCTCAGAATATGAGTAAATACCCGCAAAAAAATACCAAAATTTGGCGTAGTCTGTAATAAGCAGTCCAGCTTCTTAATCCGTAGTTAGATTCCTCAATCAGTGGTACTTTCGGAGTTTCATATAGCACCAAGAAAATACAAGGGCATTGCTTTCGTACGACGCTTCCCAAAGTGGGAGCCGCGGCCCCCGAGGGGACTTTGAAGCATTTTCTAATATATTACTTAGTGTAGGTCGTAAGGTTTTAAGAACTCTGTCTTCTGAGATATACAGCGTCATGTAGGCTGGTGAATGTTAACGAACGTGTCGGAGGAACATACCACTTCCATCTTCAGAGTCGAAGATTAGCCCAAGCAAGAAACCAGATCTGCTTATAACCTGCTTCTTGCTGGTGCCTTGGTATGGTTAATCTTCAATCCTGAAGATGAAGGCAATGTATTCCTCCGAAACATCGGTCGACTTCTCCCGGAATGTACGGCCCTTAGTAAACAAAGCTGAGAGAAGTTATCACCGTCCCCTATTTACGCTTTCATCGGATAGCTCTTATTTAAAAGGTAACTTAATACAGCATCATTAACTCCATTATAGGGAGTGTTTCTTGATCTGTTGATAGTTTTTCTTCTTTTCGGCTCATGAATACATTCTCCACTTCACAAAACCCGGAAGTTCGTCACTCTGTTTATAATATCTTTCTACTGAACCAAATTCTTCATAACTTGAATCCATTCCATCCCCTGCCACCATATATTTATATCATCCTCCAACCTACGGATAGAACAGCTATAGAATGATCTACGAGAATTTAAAGTGACCACGTGGAGGCAAACGGCAAAAACTGGGAAGAATGATTTTTGTCGTAAATGAGACCAAGAGCGCCTTAGAGCCAAGGAGTAAGGTAAAAATGTAAAGTTGTCCCTGTGCTTAACTACTTAAGCACACGGCATGATGGCCTATGGAGGAGTAGATATATAGAACCAAGGAGTATGTAAGTAAATATGTCTGCAATATCCAAGTAATTTTTTATGAAGATTTTGTCATCAGAATTCTACTGTGTTTATTGTACTTCTATGAACACATCATCATCATCATCATCACCTGTGACGAACCAAAATGTAATTAATATCGAGGATATAGACGTATTCTGACCGCCCCATAGCTCAAGTTGTTAGTCGCTGGCTTCCCACCGCGGCGGCCCGGGTTCGATCCCAGGTCTGGTCAAGTGGGATTTATGATGGTCAAAGTGGCACTGGGGCAAGTTTTCTCCGAATACTTCAGTTTCCCCTGCCAATCTTCATTCCACCAATTGCTCCACAATCACTCTCACCTATCATCTGGGGCTGGTACAATAGGCCAGAAGTGGCCGCAGTACAAGAGACTTAGTCCCACTCCACTAGCAATAAAAAATAGACGTATTAACGGACGGAATTCTAAACGGCCAACCGATTCCCGCATCCATAGACTTACAGCAAGGTATTTTAGTGTTTAACATGCTGTATATATGAGTATATATATATATATATATATATATATATATATATATATANTTCGAAGTTCATACGCTTGGAATCACATTTCGTATAGAAATTTCACGAACTGCCGGTTTTTTACGCGGTAGTAATTGACTCCCCCCCCGCTTCCTTTCTCATTTCATACTGTGTAAAGATATAAAACTTAACAAAGGTCCCCACGTCATGCTGCTGTTTAAAGGTTCATTTTTCTTTTTCAAATATAAGGTTTCTTTCTATTCACAACAATCCCACTCCTTAAGCGGACAAGATATCGTTGGAAAGATTGACGGTTGGCGTGGAAGAAAGATGGAAGATGTATGAGTGACGTTAGGAGACATGCGCATTAAGGATGCGTAATGGAGTCCTTTCGCGAGTTCTCGTCCAACACCACGCTTCACTTCAACCCGACGTCAACAATATTCTGAAATACAACGCGCGGAAGATCGGAGAATTTGACTGCCGTAAGTCACCTGAATTGAATGAAATTAAGCAGGGTAAATTGTACAAATACGAGCTTATTTTGTGATAAATTTGGTTGTATCGTTCTCCTATGACGAATGGTATCTTGATAGTTCGAATAATAACAAAAGACGTTCGTGTGCCAAAACGAAACAAAAACGTTAAAAAAGATGATTTTTCGAAGACATCAACTTCATGGTTTCATGACAGCAGTTCTTCTCACCTTTACGTAAGTTCACACAGAATATAAATCCTTTCTAACATATCTAAATTTAAGTAAGTTCAGAAGCGATTCGAAATCCTAACCTATTTTTATGTGTAAGTAGGATTATGTAATAAAATAGTGAGAACATGCCGTATAAGATGGTAATAATTCGGCAAAATTTTGTGTCCTTTCGTCAGCATTAAGTCTGTCTGCACGCGTATAAAAACACTACTAGACGAATGATTTTTAATTAATCTTAATGATGTGAGTTCCAAATCAGAGTATTTATATCCTTATAGTACAATGGTCAGTTGCATATGCATCACGATATATTCATAATTTGTCACTATTTGTCTGATTTCCGTAATTGTACTGGCCGTACGTGTTGGCAGAGGGGACAAGACAGAAAAATACACCCCCATGGAATTCTTGGAAAAAAATAAAAATTTAAGAATGAAATAATATACCAAATATTAATGTCAAAAAGTAAAATTAATTTAAGCAAAAAGTATATTTTTCCTGAATACACAGACGTTTCATGACTTATGAACTCCTGAATATAAGTTTGTAAGTAAATTTTCTAGCTTTCCCCTTCCCCCTTTGAAAGAAGCCTGGCTCTGCCCATGATACCAGCTCCTGTAGGGAACATTTGTAATCTTCTCAAGACACGATAAATTAGGTTCAGTTAGTTTGGTCACTTCGTCAGATTTCACTCACGCTACCTTCATGTTGGACCCAGGAAGTTTAAACAAAACACGAAAGTTGAGAAGAATTTGGAGGAAACTCGGATATGCCTAGACCCTGAGTGCTAAAATGATTCAAGTACGTAGAGGTCTTACATTTCCTAAGAGTTAGAGATAAAATATCATTATCGCTTAAATTGAATTGTTCCTATCATTTTCCCATATGTTAGGCTAAAAGTCTATTATAACAATATTCCCGGTACTCATTCCTCTTAAAGGCTGAGTCGACACCAGGACCGTAGTGCGGCTGGAAGAATTAGATTAATTGAAAAATCCAATGACCTCATCGGGAATCAACCCGCGACCTTCCGGCTTGTAGCGTAGTGGTGCCTCAACCAGCTACGTTACCGCTTGCACCTTTCTGCGATTATAATAAATTCATTATTTTTGTTATCGGCCTACGTTTCGGAAACTATCGGAGACAGGTTCACGACCCCCTCGGGGGCTGCAGCACCCACGTCGGGAAACATAAGTATTAATGAGGAGTCATTTGGTTTTTGTTCAACGTCACTCAGACTACATAGCATGGAATGGTAGGCTGATAAAGAATAACTGCTTGAAAAACTGAAATGGCCGTGGCCTGTCTGAGGTACTGTCCCCGGAATTTTGCTGGAGGGTCTCTGGAACATCACGAGTAACCTCAAACAGCGTAGCCAAAATTTGAATACGGGATCTCCCGAATACAAAGCAGAACCCCATTCGACTGAGCATTCTGCTTAATTGTTTCTGCATTGTAATCCACCTAGCTTTTACACATTATTGACACCCTAAGGCCAGTGTGAATTTGATAGGGATAGACTTAGTACACTAAACGAAACTTGGAATATGTTGAGCTCACGGGGCGGAATCCTTAGTTGTGATTGTGCGGGTGAAAGGCATAGCTCTACCAATTGGACCCAACAGTAGGTTTTTTAGCTGAGGGAGGAGAGAGAGTCCGGACTCCGAAACGTCTTTTCGGATAAAAATTATCTGATGAGTAACGTCCAGAAAATTGATCTTTGTGTACCATTGTTGGCTTGCATTTTAGTGTGATAATTAGCACATTTGTTTCTGAGAGTCCATCTTCACGTCCTGTCTACGTAATTAGATGTTATTGGTACAGCAATGTATCATCTCGGATCGGGACAGGACGGGGAGGAGGCGATACGTGTACAGCTGGATGGGTTATTGCTGTTTGAGTGCAGTGAGCCGACACGGAGATAGGAACGGGAGATTAATCTTGCTATCTGCAGATCACCCGGTACTTATACGAGTACTTGCATTTGGAAAGTAAGCCGTCCATGTATTTGCGACACGCATTGGCGCCGTGAGCGGGAAACACAAAAAGTGTATAAAATATTTAGGTGTAAGCCGCAATAGACAGAACTCTAATCATGAGGTATAAACAAAATATTGACGTGTATGAAAGCACAACAAATATACAGTGCAGTGGTCTCCCCAAAAGAGAAGGAAAATTACCTGATGATGGCCCATGTGCGGCCGAAACATGTCGTAAACTAGAAGAAATATATGACTAAGAGATATTTTAGAAAAATTATAATCACTTTTAATATATAAAGTATACTTTTAGTGTCCTATTCTTATGTAATGATTTTAACAACATTAAAAGTATTGAAACACGTACATTTTAGTGTGAAACATGTTCCTAATACCTTTTATATTGTTGCATTATTGACAGGTGCCTTGATAGTAAGGATACCTGTAAGGAAGTAGTTACGGATGCCTCTAGCGCTGTGGGTCTCTGTATTGACAGATGTCGCCACAAATGGTGTTCAACGTTGTTTAGTATATTTTATTCTTTTTTAATTTTGATTTTTCTCCCAAGAATGCAAGGGGAGTAGGCAGATGCTTGGGACACTGAAGCCTTGCTGGCACCTATGGCTACACTACCTGAGGTGTTGGGGTTTTCCTCAATATCAACACTCTAGTGCTTTCAAATACACCGCGGTCTCCTCCTTGTGATCAGCTTTCAGCTGTGTGTGGAGGACATGTCACCGTGTCATTGCGGTATACAGGACTTCTAGAGCTATCAGTACGATGGCATTCTGGAACGTGACGCCGTGCGGGTTTCCTAGCAAACTACAAGAAATTGAATAAGATCTAAAAGTTTGTGACAGCGATATAATAATGTTATTGACTTTTTGGTCATTGTCCATCGTCCTGGGTAATGGTTAACGTCCAAATAGTCAATAAGTGGACAATAAACTAGTGTAACGCCCATTGAGAATTGAATGTGAGATCTCATTTGTTGTGTAAGATTTAAAATTGTTAACTTCACCTTCGTTCTCCAATATTCGGTTCCAATTGTACGTGTTACGGAAGCATGCGTCGAGGCCAACATTTAATGTAATCCCCAACGAATAACGCACACAAATAATAGATCGTAATCCGTTTCCCTTTTACAGTATGCTACACTTTACATATCCACATCAGAATATTACCATTATTCACAGAATAGGCACGATACACTAAAACAAAAGACTGTTCTCTTGTTCGTGACCTGCTACTTAACGCTCATGCAACGTAACAACTCTCGCCAGTTCGCTGCTATCGTGAACCGGAACTGCTAATTTCAGAGTTATAATATCACAGTTGCGTTACTTCCTCCGTGGCATTTACTCCAGAAGCGAACTATACCGACCGAGCGACTTCCGCTTGCCGGGAAGTTAGTGCCAACTTTTACGGACAGAGGGTGTCGTGTGGTCAGCGCAACGGATCCCCAAGGCTGTTAAAGCTGCGTTACTTATGTAAAGGGAAAGGTAAAATTATCTCTGTAACAGGCCGTGGAGGCCCATAGGGTTGTGAGACGTCGAGGTTGCCACATTTTCTAGACAATCGGCTCACAGATGGCTCTCCCAATGAGACCCTGAGTGCTCAAGCATGCAGTTCAGGACGTTGATGAGAAAATAAGAATGAATGAAGGAGAAAGAAAGAGAAAGTAAGGAGAATGACGGGACGAATACGAGAAGGAGAAGGAGGGAGGAGAGGTGGAATAAGAAAACAAGAAGAATGGGTGAAATCTGATGGAGAGGAAAGAAATAGGAAGAGGGCAATAACAGGAGAGGAGGAGAAGGCTTCTTCCCTCTGCCTTGGCTCTGGAAAGGGCACTGTTCCGTGGATCTGGTGGGCCACTCCTATATCGTATTCAGGAAGTCCAGGGTTCAGGCCTCGACTCTTCTGACCGGGGTTTACCAGTAAGTTAAAGACAAAGTTGTCCCTGTGCTTAACTAATTAATCATTATGCCATGAAGACGTACTGGTGAGTGGAGGTGTAGATCCACCTATTCTTGACCTCGGCATTAGTTGGAGGTGAGTGGTCAGCTTCACGCCTCAGCCGCTTTACCCCCCCTGTAAAGAGCCCCCCGTTCCCATTTGACGCACAGTATATCACACTAGGACACGAACGTCTCCTTCCACATCCTTTCCAATTCATTATTCACTAATCATCCTGCCGTTTCCCAGTATAGACCTATATATAGTCTGATCTGCTGACAGCATCGTTAAATAGGGCATAAATCAAATAAGATTCGTTTTAAGCCCGCGGTAAGGTTTGGTCGGTATGGACATTGTGACAGGAAGAGTCCTTGCAGAGAATCGAACTCCAGTCACTTTATCGAGTGAGCTCTTTCGGCTCATGATTATCCATCAGCGTTTCATGGTGGTGCCATTTTAATTTCTCAAGTCTTATCAGATTTAAGTAAACAAGGAACTTTAATTAAAGTGGCTGATACCGCGCGCTGGGGGCGTATTAACTCCATTACCGAGGCCCTTGCCATGTCCGTCCGCTGAAAACATTGCAGCCAGGATCTGACAGATTTTCGTCGAGCGTGCTATAATACGAGATGTAACCCCTTGCAGTCGGGTAGAAGTTCGATGATGTTTCGGAGCCACTTAATGCCTCCATCTTCAAGGTCGAAAAATAAGCAGAGCAAGTAACTTCCTTTCTCATATAGCGGCCTCCGTAGTCTAAGAGTAATGTTCCCACCTCATGACTCAAGGTACGCGGGTTCAAACCCGGGGGAGGTCGTGGAATTTTTTAGGGCGGAAAAATTCAGGGAACAAGTCCTCCGGGAGGGACTTTAAGCCGTGGGTCCCGTGTCGTAGATTTACGGCACGTAAAAGATCCTCATGTCTCTAGGAGACCTCTGAGCAAAATTAGGCAAAAGTTTCCCGCCCAAGTAGTTTCCAATGCCTCCGGTAGATGGGGAAGTATCGGGTACAACTGCCAGCCTCGCTGGCTGAACGGGGCTGATAGCGAGCACCAGTATCGGAAGGGTGTGG